GGGGGGGGGGGGGGGGGGGGGGGGGGGGGGGGTGGAACAGAAAAATGTGAAGATTGCAACCCAGAAGGTCCCACATCACAAGACCAGATCCGCCAGTTCTATGCACTTATTGGAATCGCCGAACAATGCTAACTTGAAAGAGATCCAATAATGTTTAAAAGTGGACTACTCTGGCCCAAGTTGCTTGGAAAGTATATATCCATCAGACTGAAGAGCTGATCTGTTGGCTTCTCCTCGTGAGTAAGATCGATTCAGACCCATGATCAGCTGGGAATAACTAAATGTTCGAAAAAAATAGGAATAACACGATAAAGCAGTTTTCTCTAGTTTTGAACACCTAAGAGGGCGTTTATAGGAGTTTTTCATATACCCCACTTTCCACGTATCATCTCGATGAAGAGCTACATTTATAATTCCTGCAAACTCCATTTTGTCATCACGATAGGCGACGTTTTCCTCACACCCACTACTTCTGCTTTGCGCTTTTATGTTTACAAAAGCAACCGCTCTTGTGAGTTGCACGCAATGAGAGGAAGAACCGTGACAACCGACTCCATCTGATTTTATGTAATATTAGGTGGCGCGGAGAAAAAAGACAACGCTGTGGTGAAAAGGGACAATTCCCTCAGTGGTTACTTATGATTGCTCACCTTGTTTCATAGCATCACTGATAATATATTATTCCATTGAAGAGCTATGGTTAACGAGTAGTTTCTACTCTAAGTGCCCAATTGGAATCCTTTATGAACTTCATTTGAAACTTACCCCTTAGTGAATACCCTTGACACGAACCCATACTCATAATTTTATTGAAATACATAAGTAACGAGGAACGAGGAACTGGTCAAGTTCAAACGAGGAACTGGTCAAGTTCAACGATGGTATGAGGTGATTGAGCAGCCAATTCTAGGCGGCTTGATGATGAAAGCGTAGCAACGAGGCAAATTCTGAAGAACATATCAGGCAATAAGTAATCTATTAATGTGAATGTAGGTACTTACTTCTGATAGCATTCACTGGATTTGGTTTTTTCCACGCATTTGTAATGAGAGAAATAGACAGGGCAGAAATACTCCCTGAATCAGATAATTTAATTGTGGGAAAGGTCATCATATATTGGGTTGTCCAGAAAATAATGCGACACTAACAACACAAATTTTACATCGTTTTTTATACGATAAAAGACAAGTTCAATCAGTGATATAGTCGCCGTTATTATCGATGACCTTCATAGATTTCACTGGCAGTTTGTCGATCCCACTTCTCCAGAAATCAGCGGATTGCGTGCTGAAGAAGTTGCCCACCTCCATTTCGCCAAGCTGCTGAATTTTCTGACGCGTCATCGTTGCCACGTGGGGGCGAGCGTTGTCGTGCAGGAGATAGGTTTCCAGTCGTTTTGTCTAAATGTGAAGGATTGCATAGGCCACTTTCTGCAGCTGGCTAGAGTACGTCGTCGCCGTCACAGTAGGTCCACTTTCACAACATAGGAGAATCTTCTTCTGTTGCAAACCACGTTTCGATTGCTTCGGTGGCAGTTCGCCCTTTGGCAACCACACTCNCTTGCGGGTATCATTTGAATACAGCACCCAGCTTTGGTCTCCTGTCACTATCCCATTCAACAAATCCTTCCTGTGCGGACGAAGAAGCAATGACTCGGCAATGCTAACACGACAGGCCCGATCGAATTCGCGAAGTTCGTGAGCCACCTATGTCGAAAGAATCTTGCGGAAGCCAAGACAGGCAAGACGATTGCTGACGGTTGATTTGCTGCACCCGAGTGTCGTTGCTAACTCCCGAGTGATTATGTTCGGCTTTGATTTCAAAGCGCTGCGCAAATGATCATCATGAAGAGTTGACGGGCGTCCAGGACGTTCCTGTCCTTCGATAGAAATATCTCCGGACTCGAAGCGGTGACACCAGCTACAGACAGTGGAATGGTGTACCACATCTTTCTTGAATGCAGCGCAGATGTTACCAGCGGCTTCTCTTGCAGAATGTCCCTGTAGGAATTCATGATACACGATGGGTCGAAGGATACTCGGCTTTGTAGGATCCATAACTGTTTTTTCTTGAGAGAAGAAGCCTTTTTATAATATTTCGCAGTACCCGCTAGGTGTGGTCTACCTTACCGTAGATCAAAACTGGGCGCTATTTGCTTTCAAATAGCCAGCGATCCTCAATTTCCAAGTGCCGCAGGATTTTTTGGACAACCCAATAATTTTAAGGCAGCTAAATCTTGATATTCCATGTAGGAAATGTTTCAGACGATGTACCTGAGTAGTGTCCTCAAAAAAACCTGCACAAATGCCTGCCTGTTCAGGTTGGTGAACATGGTAGGAGAAATAATGAAAACAAAGGTTCTCCAGAGATATGGGGAGAGAAAGCTAATATTATGGGGTATCGAAGCAAGCGAAAATGATAAAGAGCCATATTCTCCAGTTTTTAACTAATTCGACTGAATCGAATGCCCACAAGTGGAACAAACGCTAGTAGGAGCAAGATGGCGTGTTCGCTTGAAGACCCCAGTTTCAATATTATTCGGTCGTCCGAAAAGTCTCCGCCGATTTTCGAGACCCCAGGATTTATCAGCTGTTGTACAGAAGATACGAAAGAATAGGTCTTTCTCTATATTTCTGTTGGACTTCTGTCAACATTCGTCAAAGTTGTTCTGTACAATGGAGAACCACTGCGCGCATTTTTGGCATCTGAAGTATTTCTTCTACTTCAAGGCCTAGAGTGCGGCTCAAGCTGCAGAAAAGATATGTAACGTTTGAGCAGACCATGCACTAGACGAACGTACAAAGCGTGACTAGTTTGCGAAATCAATCAGAGTGAATTTACCATCGAAGACCGGTAGCCCTCAGGAAGACTAACATCAGTTAAAAGGACCAAATCAAAATGTAAACCGAAGCGAATCGGCACATCACTACTCGTGGAATAGGACAAGGGCTGAGTGTTTCGAAATCAACCATTGATGATCATCTGCAGAAATTACTTTCGTAAAGCGCCTTGATGTTTGGATATCCTGCGAAATTAGCGAGCGCAATGTGATGGTCCATGTACGACTCGTTTAAACGGAATAAAAATGAGCTGTTTCCGAAACGTATGAACACGAAGGACGAAAATTGGACTGTGTAAAACAATGAGGAGCAGAAACGATAGTGGAGCCTCCCTAGTGAGCCGTTGCAAACCGCTGCAAAAGACAAAAAAGACTATGCCGAGCTGCTGATGGGATTCCAGGGAAATCACTTACCATGAGCTGTTGTCGCATATTCAAACGACGGCTTCGAAAAAGGGCTATAGTTAGCTAGAACATTTGGAGGCAGCGACAGACCAGAAGTGACCCGAACTGGCCAATGGTGAGGGCGCAATCTTCCAACAGGGTACGTCCAGACCACACGTATTCTTGGCCACTCGTCAAAAATTGCTAACGCTTGGGTGGGATGTCATACCACACCCCCCATATAGTCCGGACATAGCACCATCAGAATACCGCTTGTTCAGGTTTCTGCAGAATTCTTTGAACGGGAAATGATTTAATCCACTGGAGAACAGCAAAAAGCTCCTAAGAGGGCTTTTTGATTTTAAGTCTTGAACCCTCTGTGAAAGTGGGGTACTAAAACTTACAGGAAGATGGCGGATCCTTACTGAACAGAATGGATGATATATTGTTCAATCAATGGATTTCTCCTTCTACGAGTTTTCATTCAAAGATGAATAAAAAATCGGCGGAAACTTCTCGGACAACCCAAAAAGAAGCCAACATTCAGCAACAATAATGCTTCTTCCATCGGTTCGGAATGCATAGGAAAACCGTTAAGGTCTGATAGTTTTTCGAGCAGCAAAATTAACCACAGGGTTTAAAGAAACCTCTCAAATTGGGTAATTTACCTACACAACACAAACTATAGTAATCTTGTTACTGTTTCTTCGCTCATTTAACCAGCAAGTCCCATTGCCTTCACGAATAACAGAAAAAACAATGTATAAGAAAAAGATATGGCAACAACGCTATGGTTATTTCTTACTGTTGTACCTTGATCTGCTAAAATGTTGGAACGCACAACACAACAATATAGGTGAATAGCCACTCAATAAGCTCACCTTAAGGCGTATAAGTAGAATACTAGCCATGAAATCAAGCAGAAAACACCGAACAACAGAAAAATCGCATCTCGATGAGCATTGAGGCCTTCGAAAATTTTGGCGCCTGGAAAATTACGTAATTCACCTCAAAAAATTATTCTTTAATCATAAAAGAGACCAATTGAGTATATGAAGGCACTGAAGACGTCGTTAAATCAAAACATACATTGTGATACATGCTCGATAACATGCATTCGAAACGCACAGCAAGCGCACCCGTATCTCCTGCCACTGTTTATATAAATGCAGATAAATGAATCACTCAGCCGTACTAATTCATCCTGACCGAGATGCTGTCCTACTTCATTGATCATGAAATTTATTAGCACCGAATATGAGACATCAGCAACATTGCAGGGAAGGAGCGGTACAGTCATCTAGCATATTTCAGCTTGTGTTTTCTTTCGGCTCGAAAATTCGAAATACAGGCAACAGAGAAGTCCTAGAAGGCAGGAAGCCACTAGGTTAAACGATAAAAAGGGTAAAACTCAGAAAAATGGACTTATCAGAATTCTATTCTTATTTAAGCAGAGAGCTATCAATATGCTTGGTAAGAAGGGGCGTCTGACAAAAAGGGTAGATTCCAAACGCGTCACTTTCTTAGTGAATTTTTAGCACCTCTTGAGTGCCCAGCGCAGTGTTGCGAATCGTGGTGGAACTGGTGTGGCACAAATCACGATAAAAAGTTGTACATGAGATTCCTTCCATGGATAAACTTCTGATCCCCAAGGATAGCATAAGGAATCAACAGGGTCGGAAGGCTGTCTTCAAAGGGCTAAAAAGAAAGCTAAAACCAGCACAGTAGACGTACACACCCAAAGCGGACGAGTTCTCACAGAGTTGTAGAGGCTGTAGATTTTGCACAATTCGCATCGGGACGCCCACGTTGTACGCAGACCGTTAACTGTAGCCAGCTGAACGCAAAGGCACACACATTTAGGCAACTCGTCTAAATCTCCTTCCACGCAACTTTTGTCGACACATTCTCAACCAACCCCTAATTTCACTCCTACTATTCTGAAGCATTGTTTGCATGCCCATAACTAAGCCGATTTTTACGTTTTCTCTGCCTTTTTTGCACCCTTCTGAACTACCACTTCCACCAGTCGTCTCAAACTAGATACCCCGTAATTATCATAATTTGTTAGCTTAGTATCTCACTAATGCTTGCTTGATATCTCGCTCACGCTCAACTAACATCTTAATGTCCCGTGTTTCAGAAAAATGAGCCAGGCCAATCCTTCGAGACTTTCATGTCTTCATCTTCTTTCGAAGCCTTGCAAAATGCTACTGATAAAGCTTCGTTATAATGCTCGAATTCCAATTTACCCTGGTTTATCAAAACGGCTGCATAACATGTGCCGCGGGACAATGACTAGAACAACTTGAATATCTACCCTTCCCTTAAGATCTGTAGACCTGAGAGAACAGCAAACTTGTTGTGCTCATAGGAGATTTCTATCGAAGAAACGCGGTGAAAAGAAGAGCACTGAAGAGAAAGAAATGTAACGATGTATTGCTCGATGTTTAGTTTCGCTGGGAATGAACCATTGCAGCTCTGAGCATAACTAGAAATGTTGAAAACCAGCCATTCAGTGAGATGAGACTCTTCACTCTTACAATTCTTGCGAAATCATTTTGAACCCTTGTTATTTTATCTGTCGAAAAGATTCCAGATGATAGGGGAACCATGAGTAATGGAAAATTTGGATAAAGCGTAGCCGATGACCTTCTTCCATTTTTTTCGTGGAATTGATTGTGATTGGTCCGAACTTTAAACGACAAATTGTAACGCACTTTGTTCACGAGGAGAAAGGATACAAAGGAGCAGTTAAGATGCATTACAAATGCATAGAAACTATAAAAACTGTGAAAGGCAAGTGAAATGTATGCTGCAGAGAGCATTAAATGCTTTACTGTGTATAATTATCCCATCGTTGGGACGCATGAATTGTTTTTTGATGTGTTTGAGGAATACGGAGAGGTCCACACTTTACGAGTTTGAATGAAAGAAGAATTGTTTCTTAGAGGTTTTTTAATACTCCTTTTTATAAGTAGGTAATCAGTCAAAGATGAAAGCTGATAAGCTAAGTTGGAATGTAATGTGGAAGTTAAATACCTTTCGAATTCATTTGGTTTCATATGCGACGCGACCCATTATGGTGTTGATTTATAAACCTCAACTGTTTAACCCTACGCATATATACGCGTGCCAGTTGAACAAAGGAGAAGAAATTCAGAAAGTACAATTGCTGAAGTTCTCCTAGCTTACATCTAAAGGTCTTCGTACCGAACAAATTCCATCGAGGTTGAAGTATTAGGGGTCAACAACATCTACATATAAATATGCCCTTATCCGATTTTCATTCGGTTTTCGATCTAGAGAGCACACATAATAATGTCTTTCTAGACGTATGTATGTCATCTGTGAATTGAAGGATATGTGAAGTGTCAAGTGTGAAACAATCCTCGAACCATGCTCGTGAAGTGAGCCATTCGTCACAAGGTGCGCCATAAATATGGTAACAAAAGAATGGGGCTACAAAATTGATACATTGTGAATTCATCTGGGTTACTTACTATGGATCACATCTACAATATGAACACACGGCCATCTTATATAACCGTCTCCTATGCTAATTATAGTTCAAAGACGCTGCGGCAACATATCGACGGCGGCACGCAGAGTTTCTTAGGAAACTCCAGCCTGGGAATTTTTCAATGGTTGCTTATGAGCAGCAACAGTGGTGCGTTATGAAGCGCAGGCTTTCCTCTCCAGTATGAACTATATCCAGCGAGCCATCACATTGTGGTTCGGGAAATTCGTAGGAGGATTGGAAGCTGGGATAAAGCCGCAAACATTCCCTCAGCACCAGTCTCTATCTTTTCCCATTCATGAGCAATCGCGCCGTAGTTTTCAAATCGAACCCCAAAAAATTTTTGAGTCTTAGCTGCAACTTTTCAGAAAACCCTTTCGTAAGGAGGTTCGGAATATTTCTGTACTTTTCTCGGCCAAAATCCGCGATATCGTTCTGATAGTAGAGATTCTAGCCTAAGCTACCATGAAAAAGGAAAAATGGCTCTGAGAGGCGATCTGACTCTCCTTAACGGCTACAGCACTCGTGGTGTGGAATATACGTGTATTTTGGGATCCCAACATTTCTTCCACGCTGAACAACCTTAGTCAGAAAAAAGTCTATCGACGCGCGTGCCGCGCGCAAGTAGTACACGGTATTTGTTTTTTCTTTCCAATTTCTTCCCTTCAAAAAACTTATGAGGCCTTCGAATCTCATCGGGACACAACTGTATTTACTCGGACTAGACACTTCCCGTCTAGGTAGTACATACAAACAAATCAGCAGTCGTTTTTCTCGTGTTTCCAGGTTTCGCAGCATTCTCCTTCCCGAACAATTCTATTTGGAAAAGGGGTCGTAAGAGAGACAAGACGACCGCTTCGAGGTTTGTCGTTGACCTGTCTACCATTGCCTAGCACTGCCGTTCAAGAAACTGCCATGTGGGGAATGTTGAAACGAGCAGCGATCCCTCTCACAAAAGGACTCACGAAAGGCGCACAAAGACGGAACGGCTGGTGGATGACTGCGAGGCTCCACCGTTTTTCGAAATCTGATGAATGAAGAGCACCAAAGTATATATGCGGGCTAGGGTATATCATGAACATAAGGGAAGATGCAGATTTGGAGAAACCCTCAAACAAGGGAATTACGAACGTCCGAAAGGTTGTTACCATATTTATGGCGTACCCCGTAGTATAATACACCAGCCAACCGTTTTGCATCAACAAAGATGAAGTTTTCTGAGTTCACCTCTGAAACAAGTAGTTGAGTGTTCGATTCAGCTCTCAATCATAGCGGTCACCAAAACACTCAGCGCCTGAAGCTCTCCAAAGATTAAATGATGACTACTAGAAGTGAGTCAGTCAAACTCCAGGGTTACATGAGCGGAATAACTCACTTTTCGCACTCTAGCAGTGTCGGTAACACTTGATCTGAAACCAAAAATCAGTAATGTCGACTAGTGAAAAAACCACTAAAAATAGCAGCAGAGACTCTACAATTGCACAGAACATTAACTATTTACATGGAATTTGGATTTGGTGTTTACACCTGAAAATTCCGTTTTTATGAATTCATTCGATAGTCAGCAATAGTAGGTTTGTTGTTGTATTTGCCTAAAGGTAATGTGCTAACAATATCAAATGTTTTCCATCGGAACGCCTCCAGCGAGGAATACTCGTTGATAATTCCAAGTCTTCATCAAACGACAATCAAAGTGTAGAACTATTATCTTAGTCCTGATCCCATTCTAAGATGCTCGATGTGAAGAGGTATGAGAAAATACTTAGTAAACGATGAGGATGAAGGATAGATAGACATAAAACCTTTTCACGCTTTCTTGTCCGTTTGGTGGGATGAGCTGACTGATGAGGTGAACGTTGACGAAGTTCAAATGCATAGACGTCAAATGTAGCGGATTCGAACAGCTCAGCGAATAGAACAATACTAATCTCTCTAGAGCAAGCTATCACCCAAAATAGCGCGAAACTATCGTGAATAGTCAGCTATTATGTAAAATTCCTCTTGAGGGAATTCTTCGGATTTCTTTCCTAGCACTCTCGGAACTCTCCATCAAAAAATCGAAGAACCTAACGTCCTCTGCAAATCTCTCCCCGCAACCTCCGAAACGATTGATGGTTTGCGTCATGGAGACCTACACTTTTACTTTGAAGTCCTAAGTTTTCAGAGCAATTCTTTCCCTGGTGCTCCAGTGTTGTTTCGAATTAACTAGGTTAGCAGAAACTGGATAGTTGGCAGCATATAGAAAACCGACAGGCTGAATTTCTTACACAAACGACCACCAACCTAATTTCCTCTCTTCGGTTTTTTCTCCTGGAGTTAAAAGCGTTTCTGTTTAATTACGGCAAACATATAGGCACACTTCGAGAATAACTCCGGATAAGCAATAAATAGCCTTGTCTCAGACATTCCAGCGGAAAAAACACTTCACAGATTACCATTCCGGAAGTTCATGAAGATTTCCGCTAAGAAATTCCCATAGAAGGTCTAGCTTTGCATGATTCAAAATAAGAGAACCGCTTTTGAACAACACTACAGCGACCACTAAACCTACTGCTTCTACATTGCCTAGAATTGTTTAGTACACATTTCCAATGTTAGAAGGTGCTCAATAATTTTCAGTTCTTTCCCGATGCTAATAGTGGAACGGTTGATGGTTTGGTTCTACATTGAGAACAGTCGTGAATTCCTAGGGAGACATGCATCTATTGGTATACTTATTGCTAGCCAATTCCTACAAGCTGCAAAATGAAAAGGGCGAATGAATCTCTACTCAGGTTTATTTACATATTGCACAATTACACGAAGTGAACCCATTTTGGAATGTGTTCTCACAGCAAGGA